AGAGGTGAGTGTTAGAAGACCTGTAGTGAGCGGAGTTGGGGACAACAAACCCAAATACGACTCACCGAGGCGTCCACTACTCAAATTGAGCACCGACCCTGAACCCAATTTGGATCTGGCGGAAAGAGGAAAGAGAAAAGTAAGAGGTTATGGGTAGAGGTTTAAATGGAATTAAAAAAGGCACGCACCTATTTCAACCAACAACGGATTTGAATGGTAGATGAAGGAACAGAGGGGCACTATTCCAACCACCACCATCCTCATAAACTAGGTCTAGGCTGGGCCCTGGATGGACTGCGGCTAGTACATTTTGCACTGGGAACCTGACAGGGTCAACGATGCTACCGTACTGTAGACAGACTCAGACGGCTAAATAGCCAAAAGGATACCCGTTGTGTGCCACCACCATACGAAGTGCTCCGGCAACCTGGGCACTATCGGCTCATGAGCATATCTTAACTTGTGCGCGGAAAGGTGAATAGAGGAGACGCGGAGTCACAGATGAATGGAAGAGCACTCGGGCAACTCGGACGACAGACCATAGTTTTGCGCCAATATGGTGAAACGAGAACCTCGGGATGCTTTCACCTACCATACCTTTTACTCTACCTTACTCAATGCTTATTTTTATATCTTCTACACAAGCTTCTTTTGTACCCTGCAAAATTAGAAAACTGTTTAGGGTATAGAATTACCCCATCCCACTAACCGCTCCGCTAGGTGTATACCTAGACTGCAGGCATTCCCTTACTTTCCTTTTTCTGCATGCATTCCTTTNGTATCAACCGCAGAAGTAGCGCCTGAACTGGAAAGTTGCCCAAGGCAGCACCGAAGAGCTCAAAATCGGCTCGCAACAGATTATCTATTGTCGAATCACATGTAGGCAAACGATACGTTCACGGTGCAAAACCTGGACTCAAATTGGCATCGGCCGCAGGTCCTGACTGACCTTAAAGACCTGGCGCCCTGTTTGAATTTCGGAGCAAGAAAGATCAACTAAATTAGTAGGGAATACTCTGAATAGATTGGGACGTTATAGAGGGGATCACTGGATTAAATTGACGTAGCAGGCCACGAGACCAAACAAAGGACCGAAACGGGGAGTTACCCCCACAGTACAATCCACGCGGTATCGTTCTAATTCTTTTTTAACTGTGTATCAACTCTGTCTAACATTTGTTGCATTTATCATTGTTAATAACTTCTGATAGAATTGTCTGTTTTAATATTGATAACTCAAACGTCATCAAAAATAGATATGACAATACTGAATATCACGCCTAGCGTGCTAGGTACGACCAACCTAGCGACCTCGAACTGTATCAGATGTAGAAAAGCAGTATCGAGCAAAAGCAAAGCTCTGAGCTGCTACATGTGTGACCAATGGTAACACAGAAACTGCGACAAAACAGTGACTATTAATATATACAACTTTTTGTTGCTCATCCTTTAGATACAATGCAATATATATGCTCGTTCTGTAGACAAGCCAAGAACAAACCGACCTTTCAGCTTCTAGCTGCTCCGCTTACCGAGTCTATCCACATGGGAGAGGAATAACTAGACAGCTCAGGGATTAG